GCTCGGTCCGTTTCAATAAGAGAGGGGTTCAGTGAAGACTAAAAAGTTCACCCCACAGTTTTGCGATTCTCGGCGTATATCTACACTGTTACTACTTGTAGGCAAGCCCCAGGATGAGGCTCACTGGTAGGAACCACTCCATGAGTATACTTGTTAGGTTCGTACCTACAGAGGTCGTGCCAACTTTGCCGCACAAAATGTGCCGTTAAGGCGCCAATCATTAAGGGCGTGCAACCATCGCAACGATTCCCAACCCAGGGTGAATAACGGTCGAGGAATTCCTCGACCATGGCTCTCTACTGTGCGAGAGTAGTGCCGAGAGTGAACGTACGCGCGGAGAGCACAGACGGCTCGCGGGTGGCGAGAGTGAATGTCCGCGCGCGAGAACGTAAAGGATCAGGCGAAAATCCTCGACGTGCCGTTGAGGAATCCTCGACCGATATTCACCCTGTCCCAACCACCGCGCTTGATGTAGATATCAGTGTGCTCTCTCATGCAGCCTCCTCTCTCGCGTGTTTTGTCCTCTTTGGTGGATGTGTCTCCCTATCCTACCGTATCGAACCTTTCTTTAGTTTTTTTTTTCGAAATTTAACCCTTCAATTTTGGCATTTTTGGTGGTTTCGTTTGTTTTCTTCCCCAATTTCAGTTCTTTGCGGGGCTCAGCCATCATTGCGAAGCGACCTCATACACCAGCTTCAGTCCGGGGCTTGCTTTTAATTGTTGAAAAATATCATGGCACTCGAAGTCGACCGTGGCGTGTGCGTGATCCTATATTTACGGACCCTTCCTCCTCGTTTTTGGTGGTAGTAATAGTGTCATTGAACCTGGCTCAATCTACATATTTAGTACCTTACTAGCACCGTCAACCGCCCTCCCTTCTTCGGTTGTAAAGCTTCGCTGGATCTGGATGTGAACTATGAACGTGGGGTCGGGCAGGAAAACAGGTAATAGGTGGCAGAAAGTGGTAGCAAAAATCGCAAATGTATTTCTGAACATTTGAAACACTGAATATGAAACAAGTAGAATCATGAACAGTCGTCATTCAACCATCACCATCAAGCAGAATGGCGGCGGGATTGGAGAGCACCTTGCAGTATTGATCGGGCACTTGTGATTTTTGTGATCCGTCGCGCCGCGCGATTCGCTGACTTTGACACCAGCCTAGGTTGGATAAGAATTAATCAGGAAATTGGAAGATGATCTCTTAGAAGAGGTCTACAAACAAGGTTTAGCTGCCATGGTCTCACATGTTTTATAGGTCCTAGACTAAACATTAGGAACATGAAACAGTAGCAAATGACACGGTACACAAGTGCAATGACACGAGCACGTCCCACACAATGCGTTTAGAACCGTATTCTATCTGCTATACGCTTTATGGGATCAACTATGGTTTTTGATGGTTTTTAGCGCTGAGGTCTCATACTGATTACTTATTACGTTTTTTTTTCTTTCGTATCCATAGTGCTGTTTATGAGTTGACGTGCCACAGATCGCTCTGTCGGTTAATTAGCAACGTCATCGAGTAACACCTTGACGAAGGCGTAATTCGTAAGTGCACATCGTAGCAGCGTGGAACAATACGCTTACCTTGGGAATCATATGCATGTGGTATTTTCACATTTTCTAAATTGTACGTGCTAATAAGTATTTTCTCATGCTGAACTCGTTTTGTCTGGTATACTTTTCAGCGTTCATGTCCTTGGGGGTGGCGGACATTCAAGACAGAGCTGGCAGTAAGTGACACCAGCAATGAGAACACAAATGGCTCACATCCTCCCCCAAAATCCCATTCCGAGGGAGGATATGAGCCGTAAGGTTTGATAACAAGTACTGTATGCGGCTCATTCACTTGAATGCATGTCCCCCACCCCTCCCAGTGGCATGAGCGCCTATTCACTTCGTTCATACTTCGTTAGAGGTCGGTTACGGCCTTTGGTCACGAAAATGCGCGCCTTGTGGGACAGTGTGAACCGCAGACGAACCACAGTGGTCGTCGGAAATGCGAAATTGCGCTCATCGCGCGCTGCCAAAAAGGCATAATAAAGGTCAGTCGTCAAGGTGTTCCTTAAAAAATGGCGAGAGAGCAATTCCCAGGAGCAATTCGGAATATTGAAATAGCATTGCTAGCAAAAGCTGGCTAGATTGGAACAGTAGAGATTCAGGTATAGTCTAGATTTTTCACTTCAATCAGTTTTAATTTTCAGTTTCACATTGGAGCTTGGACGAATCTCATCGGCAACGTGATCAGGGTTGCTGGATCAGGAGAATGGTTCTCCAAAAGTGTGCGATTCCCTGTGGCTTTTACTGGGCAAACCGTGGCTGCAGTTGCACAACCATTTGTCATGTTTCTGCCGACAAAACTTGCAGCATATTGGTTTCCTCAGGACCAGCGAGTGATTGCCAACACGTTGTCATCGATGTCGAATCCAATTGGAATCGCTGTGATGTATTCATTCGCTCCGCTCATTGTTAATGAGTCACATCCACACGCCTTTCCTCTCCTTGTGAGTCACTTCAAAAATATCACAAATCTGAGAGAAAGAATACAAAAACAATTATGTGCTATGGGCCAGGAATCACTGCGCAACATCACGGCGACGGAGTGTGAGGCGACGCGATGACTCACCTCTGCTATGCTTGGCATGTGACGGCAGTAGCAGCAAAGATGAGCGATCTTCATGGTCAAGCAAAGCGTCGGGAAATCCTTCAATTCCCTTCCCATAAGGGATTCTACGTGTACTCAACCCGGGCCGTATGCTGAATGTTGGGTAGGGGCTGGGGTCCCCGACCCGCGATGCTGAATGTTGGGGCTCCCAGCAGAGTTTCGTCGCGGGACCGGGCGGCCACTGACCGGTCCTTTGATTTTACGATTACGTTTTCACCTTTTTACTGTTTTACACTGTAGATTTGTCCACGTATATGCAGCTATATTGTTGTAATTGCTTTAGTTTATCCTTTGATTCTTTCACATACTGGAGCGTTCGTGTACGTCTAGCTGTATTGCCGTAATCTTGCCAGTCTGTCCATTCACTACTTTAGACTGAAGTTTGGTTCGCGCCTTCTATTACTTCGTGCCATATTGGTGTATTACTTCAATATGGCAATGTGTGCGTGGACGAATCTGTAATCTAGAACAGTGAAAAGACAAAAACTTCATCACAGAATTAAAGGACTGGCCAGTCACCTGTAGGTCCCGCGACGAAACTCTGCTGGGAGCCCCAACATTCAGCATCGCGGGTCGGGGACCCCAGCCCCTACCCAACATTCAGCATACGGCCCCCATTTTATGCACAAGGAAGACACACGAATGAATATGCTTGCTTTTGCAGCGCGTGCGTTCACAATAGGGCGCGCTATGAGCTGGAGCAGGGCTTGAAAATCGCAGTCGTTTTGAAACGACACAACATTTTTCTAAGAAAGTTCTCGTAGCGCGTTTGAAGTTTTGAAGTTTTTTTACTGGTACTTCCAAAAATGGGTCAACTTATGCACCATACTAAAAGGGGACTACTTCCTAAAATTGACGTTGAACTTTTCACACTTGGTAGAGCCATATGAAGCAAGCTCTCAACAAGGAGTATAGTGCCGGAAACTAGAAGATCCACCCTTCAGCCTATCGAAATTACCCAGATGGGTGGCTCTGTGAAAAATAGTCGGGAAGTTCTTCAGGTCACACTTTGGAAGTTTCTCTTCGCGAAGTGTCGCACCTCCAACAACCACGATTTTCTGTGGTGACATTTTGAGAATGAAAAATGGAACCCACATGCTTCCTACGGAGTGAGATATGCTCACGTTTTACTGTAGACCACGGATCTACATATGTCACCAAGGGTCCTCTCTCACTGATAGATTTTAGCCAATTGATGGTTTGGCTACGTCGCGCGACTCCAAGTTGCAAGGAGGCGGCAAATCGCGCACCAAATTACCTCCCTTTCAAAAAACGAGAAGAGTGTCGGGTGCAGACCATACACCACAAGTGACGACGGCCTCCAAGTAAATCTGGTTAGTAGTGGTTCATAGTGATAGCTGATTTTGGTAAATGATAGTTGTAATTAGTGACAACTGATAGAATACAACTGCAACAGGCTAATCATTTCATTGGCAGAAATTTACATTTTGTGGAGGCCGTCGTCACTTGTGGTGTATGGTCTGCACCCGACGCTCTTCTCGTTTTTTGAAAGGGAGAATACCTTAATTTCAGTTTCTATGAAATTTATTGTTTGACTGAATACGAATCCTCATAATAACTTCATTTCTCACCCGTGATGGTTCATTTTAGACTGGAATTTGCGCCGCGCTGGCTGCAGTCACCGCACTTGCTGCTCTTTTTATCACGAGATCAAAGCCTCCTACACCTGTGGCCGCATCTCGTGAAGAAGATATCGAAATACCTGGGTTTTTGGAAGGAGTCAAGCAGTGCTTCCGCTCAAAAACTTACTGGATACTTGCCATATGTTTGGGTACGTTCACGTTTTTTGTGATCCATTCGCACTAGTAACCTCCCCTTCAAAAAGCGAGAAAGTGTCGGGTGCAGACCAAACACCACAACTGACGACGGCCTCCAAGTAAATCTGGTTAGAAGTTGTTCATAGTGATAGCTGATTTCTGGTAAATGATAGTTGTAATTAGTGACAATGATAGAATACAACTGCAACAGGCTAATCATTTCATTGGCAGAAAACATTAACATTTTGTGAAGGCCGTCGTCACTTGTGGTGCATGGTCTGCACCCGACACTTTCTCGCTTTTTGACGGGGGAGGGTTTTCTCGTTCATACACAAAATAAAGGATAAATAGGGCGGAAGTGGTGTAGTGGCAAGTGGCGCGCTTACCACGCGAGCGGTCCGGGGATCAAATCCTGGGTCGTGAGTCGCCCGGGCCAACCAAGCCTTCCATCCCTCCGGGGTCGGTTAATTGGTACCAGACTTGTCTGGGAGGATAAAAACACTGACTTGTACATCGGCTGGCCCCCGCAAGTCATTGTATAGGCCACATCGCATTCAAACGCCACTACGAATGTACAAATGGAAGTAGAATGCGTGCCGCATCCCAAAAAGGGATTGATCAACGGCAAATGCTTTATCCTTTATTTATCCTTCACACAAAATAATTGAAAAGGTTGTCGGGCGTAAATTTAGAGACATTTCTAATCTATCCCTTATTCGATTTCTGTCGTGTTCTCTTATTAGCCGCAAAACAGTCAAACTAGTACATATGTTCGTCACCCATTGCTTTATTTAATTCGGTTATTCAAGTTATTAGTTAGTTAGTTAAGATATGTTTCTTGTTTGCTCATTGAGTGAGGGGGACCACGTGACGGCGCCGTCAAGCGCGAGCTTAGGAAGGAGAGGGTAAGCTGTGAACGTTATGATTCGTGATTGACTTTACACCTGGGCTTCCTTCTAGGCTCAGGCTCAATGTCATTGTGTTTAGCAACGCCGCGCTGCCGCCGATTCCCGCCTCAACTCGGGTACCCGACAGGAGGCCTCGTCGCGCGGCAAGAAGGCAGAGTCAGCGGACGAGTCGTGTGCGATGTAGGACGTACAATGGTACATTCTATTTAACTTGACGCGAAATCACTACAGTACGCGCTGCGACTCGTCCGCTGACTCTGCCTTCTTGCCGCGCGACGGGCCTCCTGTCGGTGCCCCCCAACTCACTTAGCACCGCTTTTTTGTCTCATTGAATGGTCGTCACAGTGCGTCAGAGCATCATTCAGAGCAGGTGAAAGCACCGCGTAAAACAAAATAAAAGGCTTACTCCGACGAACTGAGAGAATTTCTCTGTCACATATTCTGCAACACCTAGGTATCAGGGTCAAGCGTGCGTTGAGGATTTCCTCAACGATGACTCACGCTCACTGCCGAGAGTGAACGTACGCGCGGAGAGCACAGACGGCTCGCACAGGCGAGTGTGAATGTCCGCGCGAGAGATCGTCTCTGATCGGGCAGAGAATCCTCGACGTGCCGTTGAGGAATCCTCAACGCACGCTTGCCCCTGCTAGGGTTTTTCATTGTTACTCAAAACGATGCACTTATTCCACGTCAAGGAGGACATTGTATGAGTGTGATGCTTCTGGAATCCATTTCTTTTGCCTTTCGAAAACGCATTTCAAGAATCGGCCCTTTGCAGGAGGCGGTGTGGGGCTGTTCAATGCGCTCTATAACAATCTACAACCAGCACTATGTGTTATGGGATACTCTTTATCATTCAGTGGAGGCATGGGAACTTTGCTTATCATGAGCGGACTTGTTGGTGCAGCCATATCCGGACTGTATGTGGATAAAACGGGAAAATTTGAGCAGGTGATTCAGTTTTTCGTTATTATTTCTCTCACGTAGCTGTACATTGTTGTTTGACGAAATTGTTCAATCCGTAGACAATGAAGCTCTCATTTCTACTAGCTGGTGTGGCGGCGTGCTCATTAGCCGTATCGATCAACTATGAAGGCGAGCAAGGATGGGTGATCGCGTCGATATTCCTATTCGGTGCTTTTGGATTTGCTATATATCCGCTTGGTCTCGAGATGGGTGTTGAAGCGACATTTCCTGTCGCTGAAGCTACTTCCACTGGACTGATAATCATGATCGGGTAAGACTCAGAATGACAAAATAAAGCCGATGTCAGACCTTGCGAATTAAGTGATTCGCTAGCGTCCGCGGTCGCTTGTACACAGCGAGTCGTTGTTGCAGGCAGGGTCAACTGTGAATCCGGCCGATCCAGACGGGGGTCGTATTTGCAATTTTCGGGAGGGGAGCATGGTAGCTGAAAGTAACGGAAATTAATAGAAGGGGATCATGATTGTGGAAAAGGTGATGTGATCACCGCTCCACCGCCCCCCCCCCCCTTCCTCCCTTGCTTGATGCGCTCGAGGGCCACTCTGGAGGAAAAAATGTGCGGAGCTGCGTCTAATGGTCTCAGAATCAAATACTACAAACAGCCATTATGGTGAGGCTGGTCGTCGAAGGTGGGGAAGGAGATCGCATCCGTGGTTGGTGCCCCTCATGTGTAAAGGGTCGTATCAAGACCCCTCGAAGGGGGAGGGTCGTAGGAACATTTGAAATAGGCCGACGCCTCTTGACCGTATTGCAAGTCCATCATTTATTACTTACTTGCGTGCGGGGGCGAAAGAGTGCCAATTTCCTCTCCAAGAGGTACACTAAGGCAGGGTCTGTAACCGCACAAGTTGTGCCGCTTTTAGGCTGTAGATGTGGCAAAAGCGATAGGAGCTTATGATTTGCATTAGAACATGCCCGAGTATAATAGCAAATGTTATTGCCTGCGTCTCACTTATCCGCCATGCGTCCTCCTATTTGGTTCTGTTCACTCGCCTCTACACCAAGTGTTTCTGAGGCTTTCTACTTTATGGAATCCCATAGCCTCTTGCACTTCCCGAAAAGCGGCTCACATTTTCAGTATTTTTGGTGGTTTCTTTTCGCTTTTCCTTCACTGCCAAGTCAATCAGCATTTATTGTCTTCTACAATACTTTCTTCCAGTTACCTAGAGGTTTCTTTCAGAGTTTTCTTTCAGACAGATCCAAGGTGTCATCTACGTGATAGTAACAAATATTTTCGTTGGAAAACCGGATCCCTATGAGCTGGCAACGCAGACGTGCGTAACGAAAAATTCCCAACTCAAAAGTGTATCAACGTGGAGTGGTAAGTGTCGAAACGTTTTCCTTTGTATCCGGCAGCCGGTGTTTGTACTACAGGCCCAACAACACAAGTGACGACGACCGCCAAATTAATCTGATGACTAGTTTTTTGATAGCTGATATTTGATAAATGATAATTATTATCGGTGACAATCGACGGAATATTACTGAGGCTGGCTAACCGTTCCGATGACGGGAAGCTATTACATTTCGTGTAGGCCGTCGTCAATTGTGTTGTGAAATCTGCAGTAAACAAGCACCAGCAAGGAGCAAGGATGCGAAAGGCAGCTACATTTCCACAACAGAGCACTTTGATGATCTAATAATGTGTTTCCAGCGCCATTTTTAATTTGGACAGGATGCGTTAGTCTCCTGATTATCGTGTTCGTCATTTTCTTCTGGCCAAAATATAAAAGACGAGATTTTGAAGCCGCACAAGCAGTAAAGGAGATCGACGTAATGGGGCAATAGTACATGAGGAGAAAAACGTTTTCACTGTACCTGTATTGATGGAATGAATCGTTTTCTCATTGTTTCGCAAGACAGTCATACTGACTATGGAGGTGCTACATAATCGCTGCCGAAGTTCGTCCATAAATGTGGTCGCGGAGCTTATGCCTGCTCTCGATTAATACAGTATACTGTTGGACTTACTAAGGTGCTTTTGTTTAAAGGCTAGAGTCTGGCTAAGGCTCACTAAAAAAAGTCCCACTTATAGATAGAGACGCTAGGTCTGTCACTGCAGTGGTCGCGCCATTTTAGCGCCTCTAAATGCGTAGCCGAAGCGCTAGACACTAGGATTGGATCCTTCAACGCCCAGAAAGAACCGTACCCGCCCGCTGCTCCGATATCTTATCTGCGTCGTAATGTGATCTGCTATGCTCTCTCGACTTGACTTCTTTTCCCTCTCCGCGACTCACATTATCTCTTATCTCCTGTTTGCCTTCTTAACTTCTCCGCAGCGTAGAGCAAGGAGCTCGTATTTTCTGTGTTTTTGACGACTTATTTTTTCTTTTTTGTCCTTTTGGGTTTAACGTCGCGGCCCTATTTTTATCTTCCAGAGGGTAACCGCATCAGTTTGATCCTGTGCTTTGCTTTCGAGAAGAATAAAAATTGTTTGCAAATAATACATTCATTTGTACAAATACAAATCAAAACGTAGACCGCTGACGCGAGTCCACTTGGGAACCTGACTCACATTCAGACAGGTAACATACATAATATGGTACAACGCTTCACAACAGAAAAAGATAATAAAGAATGTGAAGCCTATTCTGAGTCATCCAGTAGTTCGCGTTCATGTAGTGCATCAGATATGATTTTCTTGATCTGCTCGATGGATTGGTTTGCTTCTTTCCATTGATCATCGTTCAACGTTCCCTTACCGACAAATTTCGCTTCTTTTGCCATGGTTTCACACATCTGAAGAGGGCAGATTTGACTGGCGTGATCGAGTGGTGTTTATTTGCGCTGTTTTCTCGCTCCGGACAATTTTTGAAAAGGTGAGATTGAGGCTATAAAAAAAGCAAGTTTCGAACTTGAAACAGCAAGGATGGTCTACTTGCCGGGGAGCTTCACAGGGCTGAGACTTCGTCTCCAGGTCGTCCTTTCATCCTACCCGAACGTACATCAGACTTTCTCCAATAGAGTGAGCCGACCGACTCTCCTGCGAATCAAGTACGACTCTTTTATTTGAGAATCTCGAAATTGGTTCACGCTAATTCCACCTGCACCTCTTCCCTCCACCCTTCCCCCGCTCCTTCCCCTCCCCACGGATGGGGTTCCACAGTCCACTTAGTTTTTCGGAAATCCCGTGAAGTTCTCAAAATTTCACCAAACTTCATAAAGATTTTTCATATTTCTTTTAGATTCTTCTAAATCATTACACCTTAACAAATCAAGCCAGATGCCATCCATTCCGAAAATTCACTGTTACTCTCTCGAATGCGACACCCTCCGGTGAAACTCCAGTTCGGGGGGGGCACTCCATTTTTTCTCCAATACTCAAGATAAGGATTAGAGGGCTCACGACACGTAATCGACTCATTTAAAGTAGACTTCTGATAAATATTGGTGTAATGGGTGAGAAACCCTGAAACGTTTTCACATTTCCGCCTGCCATGACCCAAGGGAACGGTCCTGGACCAGGAGAAAGGACACCTCCGCAAAGGGCTAAGGGTGCAGGAGCTCCAGGGTGGATCACCTGTGCAGAAAAGTGGATGGGCAGGTAGTGGAATGTAGGACATCCACCGGTCCCAAAGATAGCCCAAAGAACTGCTCTCTAGTACTACGGATAAGATAGCAATGGAGTGCCCCCCCGAACTGGAGTTTCACCCCCCTCCCTCCGTTGTACCAAGGACGACCCCACTAATGGGAAATCTCCAGCGTTAGCTCACACTGGAAACGGCCGGCCGAATTAAAGTGTAAAAGATTCAAGATTTCACATGATTGGATGGGGAATTTCCTGTGCTTTTAACATCACCTGTCCCCTCTGAAATGAATATTAGATATTTCGATTCATTTCCTTTTTGCGGAGTCGACCACCGTTTCTACGGGAACGTTCTCATAAGGGCTGTTTTATGAACGAGAGGCTTTTGACTTGTTTTTGGATAACTGCTGTTTTACGCCGCAGTTCGCGTTTCGAATGTTATCAATTTTATTTCGAAGTTATTTTTATTTTAAACTTATTTCGATGAGAACGAAAGGATGGTCACGGACGACCTTACTGGGTGGTCCATGTTGATCACAAACCTTAAATGATTCGTCATCGGCGACATCGAGATAGCTCTTGCATAACTTGGCGAATGACACGTATATAGATAAACGATCGGGATCGTTTTTATCCTTCCAAGCCTTCTTGGCAGCCAACGTCAACTCGTACATAAGTTCCTACAATTGAGCATTTTGGCCTCAAACGCTACTCTGGGCTACTGATTAGTGTCGTGTAAATATTTGTATTGTAAAAACAATGAAGGAATCATTTATAGGTCAAACGAAAATATTACCCCACACTGAAAAAGCGCATGGACTGGGAAACAGTGGACAGAGGGAAGGACTCCCTAGTACGGGTCAAGTTTGGGATGGGTCCAGCGTGGGCCAACATGATGAAGCACACTAGGAGAGTCCCGTTCTTGAGCGGTTGGGCATGCACTGGAATGAACGGGAACAAAATCTGCTAATACTTTCCAGAACAGCTAGATACCGAAGAAAAACTGGGGAATTGAATAGCAAGTTGCTTAGCAACTGAAGAAGACTTACAAGCGATAGGTGGAGCGCTCTCTAAGTGGGCGGCGTTCTCTAAACAGGTCCAATAATTGGTTTTAAAATAGCCTAGAGTCCAGAAATTTTTCGTGGTGCAATGTATCAGGTATACTAAGCGAATCCGAAACTCGGCCCATAATTGACGGAATCGTACTGGCGAGAGTGGTGCTTCCTCAACTCCCGACTCAGTTCCAGGATGTCCAAAAGGCTGGAAAAGATGGACAGACTAGGAAAAGAGGGGAATCTAAATGCTCATGGTTGGTGGAATACGTACACCGTTGTGAACGGTTCTGAGGTCTAGCGGAGGAGAGGAGGTCAAAATGCTCATGATTTGGCATGTGAACTGAGGCTGGTGAAGCTAATCCATTGCTGAGGGCAGTGAGTGCAATCGCTGAGAAGCGAAGCGGTTTTGATGACGTCAGTGGGAATCATCCCTGAGAAGGCGTTGGTTCCAAACACCTCCTCCCCTGGCAAAGCCCAATGGTGTCACTAAAGCTGTTTCTCTTAGCCATCCATTCTACTTCTTTAAGTTTTTCTGTTCCGTGGATGAAGTTTCAGATTGCTTTTGAAAAATAAGGCTTATTAAGTCGTATAACTTGATACCGTCCTTGACTGCTTTGAACAAACCTTGAGTCTATTCCATGCAAGCTGCCTCTCTTCGTCCCGTGCACATCGACTCATCCTGCTGAACGTCTCATAAACAGACTCAGAATACAGTATCAGCCACTGGCTATCCTTTCTGTAATTTACTAGTTCATTAAGGTTAACAAAGGGCGGAAGTGGTGTAGTGGCAAGTGGCACGCTTACCACGCGAGCGGTCCGGGGATCAAATCCTGGGTCGTGAGTCGCCCGGGCCAACCAAGCCTTCCATCCCTCCGGGGTCGGTTAATTGGTACCAGACTTGTCTGGGAGGATAAAAACACTGACTTGTACATCGGCTGGGCCACATCGCATTCAAACGCCACTACGAATGTACAAATGGAAGTAGAATGCGTGCCGCATCCCAAAAAGGGATTGATCAACGGCAAATGCTTTATCCTTTTATCCTTTTTAAGGTTAACATAGCTGGTCAAAGGGGTGGGTGGTGCATGCATTATTGCCTAGCAAATATTTCTTGGTATGCCAAAACGAGCAGAGAAGTGTAACGGCATGGTAGTCGATTAAATATGACCCAACACTGAGCGAGCATGTCATGGTAGTAGCTAGTCATGGTGCGGCGACATGCACTCTCTTGGCATGAGGCACCTAGAAACATGCGCGACCATTAATTTGAGACTGGATGCTTCGCATATGAGGAGATAGAGAAGCGGAGACGGCGAGATAGGCACGCGTTCGGACAGAAAAGAAGGATGGTAACAGAGGTGTCATTTGAACCAGTTGCCGCGCTAGCGCACGAAATGCGGCAAGGCGAAAATGTGCGGCCACCGCGTCGTGACCCTAACGTCGCGCCGGTGAGATTATTACGATAAAGCTTCTCTTCTCATCACGGTATTGATCATGATCAAGAGCTGCTATTGGTAATCAAAGCTAATTAATAGCAAGAGAGCTAAATTGCATTACGAGAACACGAAATATGACAATTAGAAAAAAGTATTGAAGAAAAGGCTCAAGGTGCTTAATCAGCTCCCAGTGAGAAAAAAAGGAAAAGGGAAAGCGGGAAACATTGAGAACGGGAGCTTTCCTCTCGAGAGTTAGAGGCGCGTTAATAGACAGCCAGATAGACGCATACAGACAGTCTGCGCGAGAAGAGATTCAGAGATGCGAGAGCACTGAGGACGAGGGAGACGCAGACGACACTGCAGCGATGGGCGGGCAGAAATGGTACTTTAATTCCGCCCCCGGCACGTAACAATCAAGGTTGCGCGCTTTCGCGTTGCAAGGCGCCACCTTTGCTGGTGCAGATCCATTTTAAAGACAGTTCACTTTGACCTAGATGTCAATACGCCAATAAGAAGTAGAAAAAAATAGAGCACTCACACTGGCTTGAAATTTTCCAGCACACCGATGCAGACGTTGCAGGCGTCCTTTTTGTCATCGAATGAACAACTGTAATGGATTATGGGACTTCATTTGAGTGTCAGAGCAATAGTTTTGTGAGGGTTATCTGCTTGTGCAACTACATGCACTTATGTCACTTAAGTTCCTAATAACATCTAGTTCTCATTTTGGAGGATTCCAGCATTCGTGTAGGAGAGACAAGGAAATTCCGGGTATCAATGTCAGTGCGGGTCTGCCAAGTCATGTTAGATCAGCAAAGGTCTTTTAGAAGCTTACCACTCTTCGCTGGGGATGCAAACCATGGATCACGACACCTTTGTCCAGCAGATCAGAAAGCACACAAAATTACAGTTGTCCTTCTTGTAAACGATGAGCACGCGCTCCGGATCTGCAGGATTACCTGGATAGTCCTTTTCTTTGATTCATCAATTTCCTATGGAAAAGCCGTAAGGTTATCGACATCCTCAAGCGACCGCGGTCATCTCATAAATCGGATCACTACTTGACGATATGCCTCGGCCGCCACACGCTCATTATGGAAGTGCTGAAAGGGCATTTTCTCCACAGGTTTTTGGTTCGGATCATCACTCATTTCTGTGAACAAATACTTACTGGTGAAGTTGGTAGCATAAATGAGCAATGAATATGTGCTGAAAAAGAGCCAAAAAAGGAAGGATGTTTTTCAAGATTTTGCAGAAGACACCTTGCTATATATGGTAACGTGTCGTTAGGTCGCTTCTGTGCCGGTGCCGCTCCTGTTCGTCTCAAGCCGCGCGCGTGAATGGCAAATAAGCTCATCTCGCAGTCTGCCCTACCATAAGTCAACCGTCTGTTGGGCAGAGGGCGGACGGAAGATAAAATATTTGTGGTTTCAAAGGGGTCTAGCTGATGAGGGGGTGTTCGCTACATTTTTGGAACAGAAGGTTTTTAACGATTCTGGAAATTTTCGCACATTTGCCATTTCGCTTCACAACCATCGAAAATATACCCTAGTTCCAGGATGTTTGGAGATGACTTTATCAGGTAGGATCAGTTTACATCAGGGAATGGTTTCAAAGGATCCGAGAGAGGGCGGTACTGGACCTCTTCAGAGGTCCTGCTGATTTCAAAATTCGCTCAACGTGATGGTTGGATCCTGTCCTGCTCGTTCAGTCTTTGTAGCTGGCGTATTCTCAAATTCATTTTCAAAAAAGTGGTAAGAACTAAGCCAAAAACTCGGCTGCGAAATGCTCAGTGCAGAAAAGTTCGTCATGGATGGTTGGCTTGCTAGTCTTCTATAATAGAAAGGATTCGCCCATGGGCTCGTGCCAATGCTGACACTGACAGCAGAAGTTGCTGGAAGCCCAGAGAAGGGCTAAGACAATGACATACAAGACCGGTACCAATCCCAAGTAAGCCACTAGAAGCGGTACAGCTTTTAAGCAAATTTTCTTCCGAGTATGAGAAACTCCTAGGCCGATGTCAGACTTTGCGAATCGCGCGATTCGCTAGCGTCTGCGGTCGCGTCGCGGCCAGTGAATCACTCAATTGGCTGGTACCGCAACGCGACCGCGGACGCTAGCGAATCGCGCGATTCGCAAAGTCTGACATCGGCCTAGACAACCGGACTGCGATCTCGACAGCAAACTATTCAACAACACGTTCCTTTTAGAAGTCGACACGTACTTGGCGCCAGTTCTTGCGATGCTTTCCGAATTCCTGGCCTAATTCTTTCAGTGCTGACATTCACTCTTCAACACTGGTTAGGCAGCGCCGGATCCACACATCAAATGCAATTGCCCCTTCGAACTGAATGGTGGGCGATTCATTGCCATCAAATCTGCCACAGGGTCGCCAAGTGCGCGCACTGGATCGGGCCAAAACATTAGATAAATGCACTGTCTAGAACTCATGGTGGCGGAATTTCTTCACTTCCACGATAACGCGCTAACTTGTTTGGGCCTGCGGGAACGCGTGATAGGAGCGCAAGGAGCAGCAATAATAGGTTCGGAACAACATCTACGGGGAGACAACTGAACCACGAACTCGACCTTTGTGTTAGGAGTTGATTTCTCCGCTCTGGTCGAGGGTCTCACCGATACTATGACGTTGCAAAATGCAACCATGGACAAATTTCCTCTTGCTCTTAATTCTGTAACGTAGCTGCTCGTCCTACGAACGACGGGATCACGGTCATAGGAGGAGGGCAGAAGCATATGAAGGAGCTTAGAGCGAATTGGTGTGTTAGAAGCGAGTCGCGCCACGATGCCATTGGCTGCCCCTTTGCACGGCGAAGATGCCATTTTGATCTTACAATGACAGAGACCCCTCGATGCTTCTTCTTCTTCAACATCCACCTTCGTCGCTGCACACTTGCCTTTATTCTCGGTCCTATTCTTGACCATGGACTTCTCTTTGAAACCTCAGAGCATTTGCCCACGCAATAAGCACTGATCCGCATTTGACCGCGTTCCAACTTGCTCTACCCTATCTAACCCAAATCAATGCCAGCTTTCTCCATTTATCAAACGCAAATGGCGCAACAAGCACGGTATGCCAGCGATGTGCGGGGTAGTGCGGTGAGTGATAGCGGGCTCGTCTCTGATGCCGCGTTATGCGTTATGCTCACCTGCAAAGGAGCAATTGAGAGCGACCATTTTGTTTCTGAATGTTTTGCTTAGAACTGCTAGGGTCTTCTATAAAAGCTTGGTGAAGAAATGTTTTCTCTGAACTACCCCTGCCAGACGTTTCATACATGAACGCCCTACAAATCCGCCAATACCATTACGAAATGTGGGTGTATAATAATTTTCACCATGAGAGACCGTTTTAAAGGACGACTTCACGGCTGGAAGGCAAGCCATTCGATGAATGGGATGGGTGTACAGGAAAGATGGAACCATGAGACGGCCAGAACTCCGACAATGGGGGACCGCGGCGTGTCTGTTCCCCGTCTGATTTGCGGCATTTGTGATGCGGATTCTGTTTCCCTGTGCCCTCCACAGCATCACGATTCTTTGCTATCTGCATCAATCGCACGTTATAGATGCCGCCGGCGATTTGATCAGCGGGTCGGTGGGGCCCCTCGAGACGCCGACCCAATCTTTTGGAGGCATTTATAGGTCCGAGGTTATAATTTTTCCCGATGCATGGGCCAATTTCCACCCGCAAGGTCTGGTTTGGTGTCCCAAATTAAATATATTTCTCCTCCGCCTCCACACGGGATGAATTCCTCCTTTAAGGGCGCAAAGTGCGTGGCCTTACCGTACTCAGACATATCATTCTGTTAAACACTCACTGGTGTGCAAAACTTAAGGACGAGATAGATGAAGTAACATAACTTATTGATAGCTCTGTGGGCCGTTTAACGGTTCCTGTCAATTGCTTTCTGTACTGCACTGTAGCAGCTCTTTCCATGTGTGGTTAGGTTCCACAGAGTTATGTTACTCGCCAGTAACACGGCTTGGAAAAACTACGTTCGTCCTTTAAGTTTTTCACACCAGTGTATTTTGCGACCTGTCTCTCTGGATTCGTGTTGGAGGGGAACGTGATGTATGAACAATTTTGAAAAAAGACGGCGCAAATGATTGTAATAAAGATTGAAGCCGAGGACAATTCCGTATTCAAATGTAAAAAACATAACCAAGTCTCACCTTGTTAATTTTTCCGTTATGAGTATATTGATAACCTCCATCTCTGACAAAGAAATAGTGGTTTCGGGATCTGATGTGTATCTGAAAAAATGGTAGTTGGAAGAGCGTTGAGAAGCGCTCCCAAATACGCCCGTAACACGATGAAGGGTCTGGTCCACTAGTGACGTTCATTCAGTCAACCGGTTGTTGTTCCTGTTCAGAAATGGACGACCCCAAAACTACCCCCCTCCCGCCCCCTCCAATAGGGTCCCTTCCACGATCAGCCATGGAGAGGTTTCCAATAAGGCCCCTTTTCCACATTCTTACCACCATCATGATGTTTCTGTAGTATTTAGTCCACCCCAAGTTCCCTCCCGAAACTCATGAAGAGGACGAAGGGGGGGGGGGGGGGAGTAGGGTGAGCAGATAAGGCTGAAGAATCGACTAAAGATCTCTTTTTTCCACTAAGTGCTCCCTATAATTTCCGGCAAAAATCGTCAAAAAAAAACTGTTCAACATGACTCCCCTTTCTCCCGCAGCCACTGCCCCACTGAATTCCACACAGCCCCTTTTCAACATTTTAGCCCACCTAACCGCAGATATTATCCGTAATCACTGCCTTTGAAATAGTTATGCGCCTTATTTTAGGAGTTGTTGTTTTGGTAAATCACCCATATCTCCCAATTCGTAAACGTCCCAGAAGTCAGCTGTTACCATATTGTTTTTGAAGTCAATCACCGCTTAAACAATATGAGGACTAGTGGCTGGTAAACCCTTCAAATGGTTTAAAACTTCTGCATCTCATTTCTAGCTTTAGACAAACCCACTTAGACCTCTGAATCAACAAATAAAATATAAAAATCAAAAAGAAAAATCGCCTGGGAAGATAAACGTCAAGAAGGAAGGGACGAAACGAAAACTGAAGGTAAATATTACAATTGCGAATCCAAAGTACAAAACAGGAAGCAGATTCGCAAAAGAACTGTCAGGGTAAGCTGTGGAAAAATCCTGGAATACTAAAAGATTTCCTCTCGGAACAAAGAAAATCGTAGGTGATATCAGGTGGTATAAAAAATTACAAGATTTCTTGGTGAATCAATTTTGGTTTCTTTTTGCACTCAAAATTGACCCATATTTTGAAAGGCCAGCGGTGAGTATTTCCAATGTGAGAAAATCTTGAAATCTCGCTCCTCCACGTCGTTCCTTCAAATGGATGTTAGAATGGAAACCTACATTTGATTTTAATGCTGACTAGAGTTTTTTTTTTTATTGGGGGGGGGGGGAGAAGCGCGGATTGGTGAAAAAAATACTCCTAGCCAATTCTCGGTTCATTCAGCGATCAGATGTTGGCCCTAACTCAGTCTTGTTATTGAGAATGTTCTAAAAGCACTAATGAAAAACATTAACTGTAAAGTACTGACTTTGATATCTCATTGAATGCCTCATCTGCTTTGCTTTCGTCACCGAGTGCTCGAGCCTTGCGAAATGCTTCTTCTCGTTCTGACATTGTCGAATTCGTCTAAATATTCGCAGGAATATTTTTTATCATGGTACAGTGAGATTTTGCGAAATCGTAGCGAAGTCATGGGAAAAACTAGGCCAAGAACGTGATTTCAGTGACAGGACTCATTTTTACTTTTAATGCGGAACAGTCAAACATCACTATTGAAAAAGACACAAGTTTTTAATTAGTAGAAAATTATTCAGCAAAAAATAGCGTCCCCTAGAAGAAGTAGAGAAAAATGGCGCAATTTCAGATCAAATCCAAGAGGACTCAACGGCGATCTCATGAGGAATCGATGGTTCCGCTCACATGTGTATTGGAGTCGGGGCCGAAGCGTGGGTGTTCTATTCCCATCCTCTTCACCTTACACAACAGCTGACAACAAAGATTGCATGAAGCAGTACACGTGAAAGAATCGTTTTTGAAACGGCAATATTCTCAACCAGCTTTTTATTGAAGTTTATTGCGGGATGACTGTGGTTGTGCTTTAAACCGAGTTTTGACGATTACGAAACAAGCTTTACACGTGGAAAAACTGATTTAATGACTCTTAAATCTCATAAACGTCCTAGAAGATGAGTCTCTCGGCAGAGTAGGCCATATCCTACAGGGAAGTTTTTGTTTCCGTCAATAAGGCAAAATTCTTTATTGCTGATGTGCAAGTCTGTTACCATCCAAATTTTCCATCCCTCCAAGTTGGCTATACTTGTCTAGGAGGATACGAATACTAACTTGTACATACTCTGGATCTCGAAGTTTAGGGCGGGCCAAATGCAGCTCAAATGCCACTGCGCCTCTGAATGGGAGCGGAATTCGTGGCTCATCCTCAAAAAAGGTTGGTCATCGTTGAACGTTTTTGATAGCAAACTTTAAGAGTCCTGGGGCCGTATGCTTTCCTCCCCTGAAGGGGTTAGAGGACGAAAATTCCTTTCAATTTTCTCTGTCTTCCCAACTGGGATTGCCCTGATAAAGGACCTACATTTAATGTATGTATGTAGGTAAAAGTAAACATGCACTGAAAATGAAGAAACTATATCGTTCAAAACAAATAAATTTAAAGGAAACTTTGGATCACCTAGCTTCGGGGAAGGATAGCATACGGCCCTGAACTCAACCGCCTATTCATAACCTTTAGTTTGTGTAGAAAAAAACCCTAAGAAAACGACAGACAAAAAGAGGCAGGGCGAGCAAGAAATTGTGAGCCTCAAAATGAGGATGAACCTATCTGTAGAAAGTCCTCCTTGTCCTCAATGCATAGATTCAGTAGCACATTAGTTTGTTGGCTCACAAGAAATTCAAAAGGAATATTTCGCAATCGCCTTCTCGGCAGGGACATAGCGATTGGTAAAACTCATACTGAATTTGTAACTATTTTGATACATCTTTATTATACTAAATCATGTAATATTTTGTCAGTTCTGAACAAAATTGCAATTGTACCTTATTTTACTAGTAAAATCAAATGTAGCCTCACCTCTGATTTTTATGGATCCAATCTAAAATCAGGAATGCTACAAATCACTAATGGACAGGTAACATTCAACTCTTTTTTTGGGTTTCCAGATAAAACACTGATTCATGACCTCAGCACATTCCGCTGTCATGCTGTGTAGAGTAAAGTGTGACGATCATCGAAAAAACCAGTTTGACTAGAAGAAGCGGTCAACATTACTACGTGTTCAGTACTGAAA